GTTCTTGGTGTTGATGGCATCTTGAAATATTCTTGGAGACTCGATTGAGTTGAAACTCCCAAATGATCACGCTCATCAATTCTCCCAAGCTGACTTTGGGGGCTCCGGTGTTTCTTCAGGGGGGCTTCATCCAACTGGCAGACTTCCAATTCCAGAGTTGCTTGATTGAACTCTGCATCCCTTGAAGCAGAGCCTCCTCGCTACACGTATCTAGCCTCTCCATAGCTCAGAATCACTATCAAATCATCCTCAAAACCTATAAGGGTTACGATGGAGCTAGCCCCATATGGAATCAAAATATCCAGCTAAAGAAACTTGCACCCATATCATCTGAAGGCCTGCAATATAAGCAAGGAATTCTTTTGCTTCACCCAATCTTATGCTGCCGAACAGCGTCCTGGAAGGAGGTAGCTCAGATATAAGGCTGTATATCAAGGAGGAGCCGATTGCATTACGACTCTTGCAATCAAACCTTTCTCTGAATTGGCTCTTGGTCAATATGTTTTAGGGCCATAATTAGAATCTTCAGCCATCAATGGTGCTTATCCAACCGGAGAGATTTTGAAATGGCTAGCGGTAGGTAGATTCACTTGCCCCTCGGAGCTCATAGCTGAACGCCGTTTTTTTTGGAGAGCTCGAACAACCGAAGAAATTGAGTTCAAAGGCCAACTAAACACAGCGATGTAGACCAATCTGTTTCCCATAATCAGCTATAGAGCTCGATCAAGCTGTCTGGTTTACAGTGGCTTGACGAAACGGAGACATCGAACACACTCCCCCGATTTGGAAATATAAAAATCAGCTGTTGTTTGACTCCAAGAACGACTGGAAACATCTCCAACAAATCGAAAATGATCATGTCGTGGCTATTGATAGTTGAACCCAGAGTCATACACCTCGATTGGGTTATCTCGTGGCTAAGAGCTGGCAGACTTTGCTTACGATAATTGAACGTGCTCGAGGTGCTTCAAGCGCTTTGACATATTGGATTCCAATAACCCGGTGGCTCGGAGGCTTATATTCATGCAGCTTCACTTCTTTGAAGACTTGTGGGGCATGGAGCAAACTGGTAGCTAGCACACTTCGGTGCTGTCCTTCTTCCCCTTGGTTGTGGAAGGAAGTGAACCCACTACTGGGTTAAGATCTCAATAAGTCCATATCGACTAATCACACTTTTCTCGCAATGCATCATGACGAGAGCCAGGACCTTTTATCATTTGTGAACTCTTGTCTGAAAGCTTTCAAAGTGACACTTTGTTTGGAGATCATCAGTGAAGATTCTCCCGCAACGCGTCTGCTGTAGGGCGATATGGAGAACACGCGTGCCACTGTGGATCATTGTAACGCTTTAAGCCTTGGAACGGCCGCGATGGTTTAGAGGCCGCTAGTCATTCGTTCAATGCTATCTCTGCCCTTCCCCCGGCCTGGCAAACAAACAAGTAAAATAGGAGCCGGGTGGTGTGTAGCAATAATATGTGTTGGGAGGGCCTTTGATGTTCTCCCGTTCAATCAATACTTGTCGCCGCAGTTATATTCTAAGACACCGGTCAACGCGTCCATTCAGCACCGCCCTACTGCCGGTACTCGTATAACTTTCTGAGCAAATTCACCGGAAAACAATCACGATCGCGTGCTGAGTTCTGTACTAAAGCTACAAAGGACTAGAGCTGGCTTGCCTCTGGCCAATCACAGTCCACAATTATCCTGTCTTGATTGTTTCGATCACGTTCCGATCTGTGGCAAGCTCAGCGAAGAGCCAAATACCACAGTCGCGTGCGAGGTACAAAGGGCGTAGCTGTGAGGTACTGTCATAGTAGCAGCAATGGATGCTGAGCTGTCGTGCTTAAATACCCCAACTGCTTGCCGCTCCAGCTCTTCTCACCACCCTCCCTCATCCTCCTTCTCCCTCCCTCCTCACCCCCTCCCCCCAACTCCCTCTCTGAACCCCCAAGTAGCGCACAAGTAAGTGTTCCTGCAACCGTCGTCTGAAACTTCCCACCGCCTTCCCTCCTCTCACATAGACAGTAACAGAATCCCTACTCTTCCTCTCCCCCTACAACCTTCAGAAAGCCGGTTCTTGTCGCATCAACAAATAAGTCTTACATTGGGGGATTTCCCCCTTCCCATAACTCCGGAGGAGCAGGTAAATCAACAATTATCTCTGACTTCCCTAACTGCTTTGGCTTGGAAGTTTCCGATCAAAGCCTGACCTTCTTCCAGAGTTCTCTAGCTCTCTGACGTTACAGTAGTAGGAACGATGCGGGTAGTATACGATATCTACTCGCCCATTTGTCCTATTGGGGCACCCTCACGCGACAACACTCGCCCCACCAGGAACTTGAACCCAGCAGCAGTCGCCAAAGTTGCTCCTCCTCCTCCTCCTCCCCCAACCGCTGCTCGCGTTGACCGCCGCCGCCGCCAGGGCATCGTCTTCAACGTCCAGGACCTTCCTCAAGAACTCAGGGCCCTCCAAGCCAACTCCAGCTCACCTAAGCCTGCCCGACCGGCTTGAATTCTTAACTCAGTATGTTATACGCATAATTAATTCTGATTCAAAAAGAAAGTTTCACTAATCATTCTTCATCGAAATTTCACCCTCACTACAGTCCAATCCAATTCTCTCAGATTTCTTTTCTTGTCCCTTTTCTTGGATTCTTTTTCGGCTTTCTCGGACTGGCTCTTCTTTCGAGAGAGAAGCAACCATTATATCAATGTATCATTAGAATCATTCATTAGTCTTTTCCTTTAGTCTCGTGTATCATCAGATCAACACCTCTCGTTTTTACACCTTGTGCCTAGTTTCAAAGGCGGCCGGATTTAATGTAGAATATCACCATGCGATATAACTTCTTTGCTGATTGCGCTACTTATGGATGGACTTGAAGCTTGATGAAGTTGTCCTACTCTCAATATGTACATACAATTATGTCATTGTATTATTAGAATCATTCATAATCCTTGTAGTCTTTTGTGATTTGTATCAGATGTTGACCTCTCGTTTTTACACCTTGTGCCTAGTTTCAAAGGCAGTCGCAATGAACGTAGTCTTAGTATTCCACCTTGCGATACACCTTCCTTGATGATCGGGCTACTTGTGGATTGGCTTCATGCTTGATGCACTCTAGTGAAAATACCTGATTTTCAATACATACATATAAAGCATGGCTGGACGGACCAGATGTGGCCTTCATCTTATTGTTTTGTCTGCTTATACTAGATATTCCAAACAAATTATGTTTAGAGAAAACCCGTTTTGAATTCTTCAAATCAACGATTGAAACTCCCTCAAAGCCAATCGATCTTATCAAGCCTATGTATCCTGCAGAGCTCAATTGTGAAAAGACAAAGGGGCTGGCGGGCTGTTCTTCATCCTTTGCAGCTCCCCGACAAACTGAGAAATAGCCATCTGTGGGCCGTTTTGAGGAGCGGAGCCTCATTCACCGGCCAGCTTGTGCATTGTTGCCTCTCCTCGGCTCTCTCAGATACATGGAAAGCCAGGTTTTGTGTAGCAATAAGTGTCGCGACAGTGTTGCCTTGGACTCGGAGTTTCGCACTTCGATAAAGACTTACTTACCCTGATAATTCGCAAAGAATTTGATGCGGATAACAGCAAAATTTTCAATCGTCAACACAGCACGGCACATTCACCACCTTCTCCAAAACCAAAATTTTCTCTGAGAACTAAGAATTGGGCATAAGAAAGCACAGTCGGGTAGCGAATTTAACACATAGTACGTCTCACTTTAGTCGCCAGGAATCCCACCGGTGGTTTTTTAATTTTATAATCGTGTACAAAAGAAAAAAAAAAAGGTTTGGATTGAGGTAATTGCAGACTGATCAGAAGTCAGCTGACTCCGAAGTGTTCGGGCAACCAGGTCTGAAGACGTTCGAGGGAAAATGGGTTGCAAGGTTGAATTCCAGTCAGGCCCGTTCGCCAATCAGGCTAAAAAAAGGGGGGGGGGGGGGGGGAATTTATAATCGTCTAAGATAAAAGAAGTCTTACACGAAGCTTTTGCTGATCAGCGCCGACCAACTCGGCCACTTTGACCCCGTCGACGATGATCTGAAAAGTAGGAATTGCTCGGATCCCCATGAGCTCTCGAGAACTTTATAAGACAGAAAGAAAAAAAAAAAAACATTAAGTCAGTTCCGGTTCGATTTGAGTCTGTCGGACAAGACGTCGGATTTTGAGAAGACCTACTTCGAAGCCGAAAGCTTGATCGTCCACATCGACTATCAAAAACGTCAGTTCGGTCGTTTGGTCGGACAATGCTTCAAACGTCGGCGTGATGTGTTTGCATGGCTCGCAGCTGTTTTTAATTTTTTCAAGAGAGACAAATTGTCTTAAGCATGAGGCAACAACACACTGACCAAGGCTTCTTTTGGTCGCTCTAACGGTATTTCAAAGGAATCTAGCTCTGAACGGCAAACAGGATATCTTGGGATTTGTTTACCTTGTTGCCCAGAATTCGATGACGATCGGTTTGTGACTCAACGACTGAATCACCGCATGTATCCCCCCCCAAAAAAACACATGAAAGAAAGTCGTGTATGAGAGAGAATCTCTTCAGCTTGGGTTTTTACACATCCGAGCAGCACATGGTCTTCACTGCAATCCCTTTTCGTGGACGATAAAAACGGGAGGAGGAGTTACCAATTCCTCATATTGTTCACACGATTTTAACCACGATACAGTCATTTCCCCTATAGTTTCTCAGAATCTTTAAGGGCAAATAAGCGGCTCTCTCAGAGCTAAGAATTAGGTGCACCAGGCCAATTAACTTACGCATACACTAGGAAACAAGAACCAAAGGTCGAGAAAAAAAAAGAAACGAACAGATTACTTACGAAGATAAGAAGCCCTTTCAGATTAGCGATTTGATGGGATCCGCGGGGATGAAACAGGGCGCATGGAAAAAGGGAGGGTCCGTCGTGAAGCTACCCGACAAAAGAAGCTATTTAATGGGGGCCGCCTCCCGAGGACGGCAAGGTTTGATCTCGATGGACCGGAGGCGGAAAGGCTGACGGGCATTGCGGTGATGCTCAGCAATCCAGACGATGACCGCTGCCAGGTGCAGACGCACAACGTTCATCTCGGTATTATGTATACCCTTCGGACAGCGTCGGTCATCTTGGAGACGAAATCTTGTCGCGCTTTCATAATTATCTTGTGGATTATTTTCCTTCGGAGGGAAACTGGGACATTTTGGTAAGTTCCAGGTTGGGACTCCAAGCTCGTTAAGAAGCTTTTATTCGTTTTGGAACCAAAATTCATTACATATCGACGACAGGAGGTTTCGCTTCCTTCCGAACTCGCCCCAGGACCCTAGTTACAAACCAATGAGGTGCTCAACGTGCCGATCTAGACCTTTATGACTTTTTCGAATCCCGTTGGAGGGGCGCTGATCAAGGGCTCGGAGTAGTTGCCCTCATCCGTCCCTAAACCGCGACTGATGTGGAAGCTCTTAAACAGCAAGTCCAAGAGTAAGGCTCGGAGAAGTTATCTTGGAGATCATGTGCTGATGATGGACAACTGTCCTATGACTTAGTCTGAACCTTCGATCCATGTTTAGCAGTCTCATTTCATCTTTTTTTGCCCTATAAAATTCTCTGATGATGAAAGGAAACCGAATGCAAGCGGCTCTGATTGAGAGGAAAAGATAAGGAAGAGATTGTTCTATTAGGCTCATATTGAGCCTGTTGACCTCCACGCTGAGCACGTCGACCGGGCCTAACCACACCGCAATCAGCATGGCCAACTTGACGCCGGGGTTGTACTGTAGGAGTCAGCGAAGCGCCGTGCAATCTGGACACTAGTGTTTCAGTGAATCCGGAGGATAGACATAAGCGCCCCTCTCCGATGATTCCTGAGGATGTTGTCTCGATGACCGTCGATCAACCGGCCAAGAAGTTTTTGCTGGTTTCGCTGAGCATCTTAATAGGACGGTTCACGTCTGACCTTTGGAGCAAGTTTTATAGCATTTATCATTAAAATTTTCCAAATTTGTCAAAAATCTCAAATTCCTCCAAATCTGATGATTCATGAGATTTGACAAAATTCATAAAATTTTAACCATAGAAGTGCTAAAAGTTGCCTTAAACTTCAGACGTGAACCGGCCTAATGGAGGTTGAAGCGGATTATATTCAGGATGGGCTGATGGTTTCCGGGGATGATGATGATGGCTGGCAATGGCCCAGTGGCTGTTAGATAGTGAAAGTGATGGCGGGGATGAGATGGCTCCTGACGGGTCTGGACCATTGGCTTGGTCTGCGGCTGGCATTGCGGCCTGGATGAGTGGATGTGAATGTTTTGTTTGATGTGATGTGTTGGTTGAGTTTGAGAGGGGAAGATGACTTATAGTGCTTATCATCATAGCATTGGCTTGTACTTATGGATGGGCGCACAGCCTGCTGTCAACTTTCAAGGGAGGAAGCACTCATCTCATGATGGGATGGCCAGTGGACTGTGGGGGGTATGGCTTCTGGCTTGTTCAGCCAACTTTATTTTCAGGGGATGGTCTAGCCCCCTCCTCCTGGATTTCCCACTAAAAACCAAAAAAAAACAAGAAATGCAGCCACAAGAAACAACTACTACCAAGAAACGACCTCACTCAGCACTCTCAACCACCCTACTCCGTCCTCGTCGCTCATCGATCGAAGATGACCTCAAACAACGAAGACTCAGCGGATGGGCCATCTTCGAATCAGTCATCGATCATCACCACTCATCATCATCATCATCATCATCATCATCAGCATCAGGCAGAAATAATCTAACCAGTCAACAAGAACAAGCAGAACAACAACAACAACAACACAACAGACTCAGCTCACCAACAAGACCGATCTGCCAAGAACCTCAACCGATTGACTACCAGCAACAAACACAACCAACCCCCAGCTCAAAATCAAAACTCATCTCATTCGCAAACTCAGCCTTCTCAAAACTACCGAGCTCATTCAGGAGAGACTTCCGTGTGATCCTCAAGTGCTCGATCGCCTATCTCATCGCATCCCTCTTCTCATTCTATGACCCACTCTCCGACCTACTCGTCCTACCCTTCGGACTCGATGGCCCATTCTCAGGCGCACACGTCGTCGCCACCATCGTCACCTACTACCGTCCTGCTGCAACGGTCGGCGGGATGATCGAGGCTAACCATCACGCCATCTGGGGACTATTCTGGCTGGCCGTCATCATCGTCGGCTCCACCCTCACCTCTTTCCTAATCGAAAACAGGATCATCTCCCATGCCATCATCCTCATCTTCTTCGTCGGTTTTGGTTATGGATCCATGGCCTGGGTCAAACTCAAATCTCCAGGTATCTCTAGATATTTTATCCTTCCCACATCCCACCTCATTTCACCAAAAAACAAAAACATTAACATTATTGCTCTTCTCAGGCTTTGCCTCAACCTGTAGCATGATCATCGTCATCTCATCCGTCATCATCACGAGGGAAGGATCGATCCACTTTGGGTACCTGGATTTCAAGAAAAGTTTGATCTATACAGAGATCATCTTGATTGGGATGTTGATCAGCAATCTGACCTGTCTAGGTTTTTGGACCGGAAGTGCGACGGACAGTCTCCAGAAGGATATCAACAACACCCTCGACTCCTTTGCCACTTTGATCGGAATGTTGACCAAGACCTTCTTACTCGACGAGACCATTTATACCGATCAAGAGCGTCTCAAACACGCCATCGATCGCCACGATCTCTCATTCACCTCCCTCAAAGGCTCATTGGATGCGGCCGTCTACGAGTTCTTCGAGCCACGCATCCAGCGCTCTCAGGATCATTACCGAGAACTGGTGGCCTCCATGAACAGGCTGGCCCAGCATCTGACCGGGCTCAGGAGTGGATGTAGTCTTCAATACGAGCTCTTGGGACCCGTCCATCTAAGAGCTGAACGGTCCTCCCGAAACCCATCGGCTGAATCCCCAGACGTCCGTCCGATCGAGGATGTCTTTGCAGCCTTCTGTGAGGAAATTGGACCGAGTTTGAAGACCCTGATGGTAAGAATTCCCTTGAGCTCTACACATTGCAGATTGAAGAACCCCTTAACTTAAACCCCCCACAATTTCGTAGGCCACCGGCACGGCATGTCTCCATGCGATCAAAACCCCAGTCCATCACCCCTTCGCGCGTACTGACCTGCCCATTGACCCCGAGGCTGCAGCTGATGGGATCGATAAGATTGTGCACATGCGTTCACAGCTTTTCCTGGCCATTCAGGTCTTTCAGGAGAGCCACAATCTCGCTATGAAGAACCTATACCATAACTTTATCTCTACCACCGACCCCGCCGCCAATGTCTCTGCTTTTTCATCTATCCCTACCTCATCCACAACATTCGGCTCTCATTCCCAATCTCATCAACTTAACGAAGAAATTTTTGTCATTTGTTTCTTCTTATTCAATATGGTCAGCCATATTCTTTTTATCCTTGCTGCACCAAAAAATCAACCCCAACAAAAAAACAAACCAGCACAAAGAGAGATGACTAATTTCATTTCCCTCTCACAATGAAATATCCGCAAAAACACATGAAGGAAGAATTCATGCGAGAGCTTTGTCATCTGTTAGATATTTTTGTGGATATTCGAACAGATGAAGAATTGATTGAGTACGAGTCTCGATTAAGGTGGCGACGGATACGGCGGCGGCTGGATCCACGGAACTGGATGAAGAAGGGGACGTATGAGTATGTTGAGGGTAGACGAAAACCACGCTCGCGACGACAGCGACCGAAACTGAGTGAGTAGAGAACGGGTATTGAAGTCAACTCGAATAGCAGATCGTCTGACTTTCTGATTTTGACGATCCAGCGGCGGTACTCCCGTTGAACCCGAAAGCTCAACGCGCCTTCTCCTCCTCGGGAAATCGGAAGCAACAGGCGCCTGAGGGTGAACAGAACGCGTCATCCATGACCTCAGTGTTCGATAGAATCAAGCGGACGATCTACGACTTCTTTCAGAACTTTAGCGATCCCGATACCAAGACTGCTATCAAGATCGGCGCCGGCGCTGCCCTGATGACCTTTCCTGCTTTCTGGGATGTCACTCGATCGACTTTTCATCATTATCGTGCTCAGTGGGCTGTCGTCACCGTCTGTCTTTCTTTCCATTTTCTTTTTATCTTACAAAATTGGAGGACAGATTGATTGATGTGGTTTTTTTGGTCTCTGTATTAGTATATGATCGTTATGGCTTCTACATTAGGCCAGGTAAGTTGATTCCCATCTTTGGTCTTGGCGTGGTAGATGTATATTTTTTTTCCCAGACCAGTCAACTGAAGTTGTGAGGGGTACTCCAGACAAACTTTCTAGTGATCACGCGAATGGTAGGGACCATGGTCGGCTCGGGCGTAGCGATTGGGGCCCAATATGCGTTCTGGCAAGACCCGGTGGTCCTGCCGATCATCGGCTTCGGCTTCTCGTTGCCCTGCTTCTGGCTCATCGTCTCCCAGCCCCCGTATGCTTCTACGGGAAGGTTCCTCCTCCTCTCCTACAACTTGGTCTGCGTTTACTCCTTCAACGTCCGCGATAAAAACGTCCATATCCTAATCACTGCTTATAATCGTATCGTCGTAAGTCCTCTCAGCTCTTCCCATTGTCTATCTTTCTCGTCCTAAGAAGATCTTCCCTCTTTTCGGGTTGGCTTTTTTTTTTCTAGTGCGTCTTTGTCGGTGTCTTGGTTGGTTGGGTGATCAATAGCTTTGTCTGGCCTTACAAAGCGCGGAGAGAATTGAGGAAATGTTTATCAGAGTAAGTCGTCCTGGATCCCATGAGACAAGATGAACGCACCCATTGATGAAATGATTGTCTGTAGATTTCTTCTCGAATCCGCCTTCTTGTATTCATTCTTAGTCAAACATTATTCGAGTAAGCCGACTGGTGGGACTGGGGAAGAAGGAGAAGAAGAAGAAGAAGAAGGTGGAGATCATGGAGGAGATGGTCAGGGCCGGCCGAATTTGGCCAGGGAGGCTCACGAGAGCTCAGCTTTATTACTTGGGAGTCATGCTAAGGCTCAGTTGAAGTCGAGGGTGGATGAGTTGTCTAAGATGGAGATGTTCCTACAAGTGAAGGTAAATCCAAGCAGCCGTCTTGCACAAATTATCTAAGTGCCGAAGATGTTTCTTGACGATGATTGATACTGATGATTGTGAAAACCGATGAGACGATTCTTTAGCTGATCCGATTATTTGGCTTATTATCGGCTACTCGACACGAGCCGCGACTGAAGGGCCCGTTCCCGAAGGGCCGATACCAGAAGATGTTACAAGGCTGCCAGATGATGTTGGACATGTTGCATTCGTTGCGGGCGGTGACTGTGCGCGAGGAATGGTTCGAGCAGGCCGTCCGCGAAGACTTCCTGGTCGCCGCCCGCGAGGAACATCGCGAGCTCGTCGGCAACCTCATCCTCTTCTTCGGCCTCCTCTCCTCCTCCATCGAACTGAAAGCGCCTCTTCCCCCCTATCTACCCCCCGCCGCGGAATCGCGACGCAGGTTGTTGAGTAAAATCTCGCTCAGACTCGCTCGTCCTTCTGATGATCAGCAACAACATCCTCAAAACCTGAACGAAGATGGACACAATGAGCCAGCAAAAGAGGATAAGAACCACCGACAAGATCGTCGGTTCGAGTCGGGTGGCAGCAAACTGGAGACGATTGCGGAAACCAGACACCCCAAACGGGTCCGACGGACCACCCACTACCTAGAGGACCAAGAAGCTTCCAAGAAGAAGATCAATTACTCGCTCTTCTTCGCCTTCATCGTGGCCATCAAACATATCCTCATCCAGCTCGAATTGGTTGGCGGAGAGGCTCAGTCCCTCTTCGGAATCATCGGCGGGATCCAGAACCTCTCCGAATTCGAGGAGATCTTTGCCACCCTTTGAGCCCTTTCCTTCCCTCCTCCCTTTCTCTGGCCGTAGATGAGGGATATACATAGATGCCAAAGAGGCTTGGTTTGGACCGTCTGATGCAGTCCGGAACGCATCTTTTTTTTTTTTTTTCTGTTTGTGTGGCTTGTGATGTAGGATGTCAGTGGGCTTTCGATTTTTTTTTTCTTGTCCTTGTTGGTCACACTATCAGCCCCATAATAGCGATGTCATATCAGGAACTATCTTTGTTATATGTACTTGTACACTCTACATGTTCAGATTTATATATTTATAGAGAGATAAAAAAATTGTATGGGTTTGGTTGTGTTGGATGATATGATATTGTTGTGTAGAGTTATGGAGTTTGGACTGGATTGCTTCTGTGATGGATGAGTGTTGGAAATGGGAAGTATTGGAGGCCTGGAGTGATTGGCAGTGAGGATGTTGCAGTAGTGGTGAGATCCACCATTGATTAATTGAACCTACAATCCACATTTTTTTCTTTCCTTCTGGGTGTGGTGATAATGAGGAATTCCACTTCACAAGTACATTTTTTTTTCTTTGATTTGATTTGGACCGAGGGTTATTTGAAAAATTTGATGACTCCCAACCCGCGGGGATGCAAATGATGGCTTGCCAGACTTGTTCTGGTATGGGTGGGCACTATGCGCAGGTCACAGCCATTTTAACCTTGAACTGCAAAGTGAAGGAGGTATTTGACCAGAAGAACACCTTTCTGTAGTGTCTCAACATGGGGGGTGGTGGGGGTGCACCTAAATAAGGTTACTCATAATATCTCTCACTTCCTCTAGCCGGGTTTCGATGTGGAGATTGTAAGAATATCATGAAAGAATTTAAGAATAAAAATAAAAGTTGGGAGTTTGAAGTACGATTTATACCTGTAACAACATCAACAATAAGTTAATAAAAAGCCAAAAATTTGTTGGATTGCTGGTAAATCAGCGGCTCAAATTTCACACTTAATTTAATCTTCCCAATGTTGGAAGGAGGAGGAAGGCCAACTTGAATAAGTCCCTCCAATTGGAGAGGTGCTGTCTCTCTGAAGGAGGGACTTATCTGCAAAGTCAACCTTGTGGCCTGGGAGAATTAGGAAAACCACCTTTTACAATATAATGTCTTGGGCAAGCAAAAGAGGCCCACAATCATGGAGAATAGTTCTGTTTTATATTATCTTGATTTTTTAGGCCTTTGGGTGACATTTGACTTGCCTTTTTTTGTGACTATGATTCTCCTGCTTCACACCTTTTGCACTGTACATAAGGGATTATCCCAAAAGCCGGGGTTCAGGGTTTTACCCCGTTCCTGAACCCCGGGGTTCAGGACTTGGGACAGGCCTCTTGGAAACCCCAAAGCCCTGGGGTTCCCAGGAATGTTGTTGAGAAGTGGTTTGTTGTTGTTTTTCTCAATCAGAAATATGTTGCAAAAAAAATTTTGTGTATGTATAATCTTTGAGAGCAAAAAGAAGCAAAGAAAAACAACCATAATGGATAGACAGCTTGTCTGTGGTGTTCGTTGAAATAATTCCAGAGTCAACTGTGCTTATTGGGGAACTGGCTCTGCTATCTTGACTGACTTCAATATTGTTGACATCAATTATTTCCCAAGTTTGACCGGCAGCTCAACATTCCGTTTGAGGGTTTTTCCACTTCATTCTGGTATCTAAGAGCCAAAGTAGACGCTTCTGCCATGTGTACACATGGCTGGTAAAAAAAGTGAAAAAAGTAAAAAACCCCGGGGCTTCAGGGTTTTACCCTGAAGCCCCGGGGTTTGCTAGCTTAACATAATCCCCTCGACCAGAGGGGCCGGGGGCACCTCGCGAAGCGAGCCTCTGAAAGAGGGGCTTATGAGTCAAGTCAAAATCTTGGCCTGGAAGCTGGTACTTTTTGTGGCTTTTCCGGGATCTTTTACACACAAAAGCCCGTTACTCCCAGCCCATCCAACTAAATGATCAGCAGTAAAGTTTGTCACATAAGTGAGCATATCACCTTGGTGTCCATTTTTTTTTTTGAAATATTTTTGATTAACACCTATCCATCCTTTGGATAGAAAGTGGAGGACTTGATTCCAGCTGAAAACCACCTTATTGCATATATGGTGGTACAACAAATAGTATGAGTTAGCCTGTGAGCCTCTGGTTCATTCTGTACAGGAATCATGGGTGCCTCATCCTGCCACACCGGTAATGCTCAGTGATAGACACAGGTAGTATGTCTCGTGTACAGAGTTTCTATATCCATAGAACAATACACACATAGTATGCCAGAAGACTGAAGAGGTTTGATGAAGGAACTGGAGGTCCCTCATCAACCTCATGGAAAAATAACCTTTTTGAAAGGCAGGTGGGGGCCGATGTAAAGGGCCCCTGGCCTTGTTGGTGAGACAAAAAGTTAGATACAATTCAGGCCTTTTGCCTGGTCCAAACGGCTGAAAATATTTCCTAGGGGAAGAGGGGGTGATTGACTGGGCAATTTTTTTCCCTACTGACAGCCCCCAGCTTCCAAGCCCAAATGTGGGCTTTAGTCGCAAGTCCCTCCTTCGGAGGCTCGCTTCGCGAGGGGCGCTTTGCGCCAGCCTGGCACCAGGCCCTCCGATTGAGGGACTTGTTGTTAAGTTAGCGGGGTTCGTGCCTCGGGACAACCCTCCAGCTAGAGATGGTCGAAGGGTATCCGTTGCGGATACCCGCTATCCGCTGGCGGATACCCGCCAGTGCCAACGGGTGCGGATTTGGGTGCGGATGGCCCCTTTTCCGCTAAAAGTTGGCGGGTATCCGGGTATCCCAAAGGATACCCGTGGCCGGAAGGGGAAATGGCCGGCTGGAAGGAGACCCTTCCAGCCGGCGAGGTACAAGTACCTCGTCGACCGGAAGGGCTTCCTTCCAGCCGGCGAGGTACAAGTACCTCGTCGACCGGAAGGGCTTCCTTCCAGCCGGCGAGGTACAAGTACCTCGTCAACCGGAAGGGCTTCCTTCCAGCCGGCGAGGTACAAGTACCTCGTCAACCGGAAGGGCTTCCTTCCAGCCGGCGAGGTACAAGTACCTCGTCGACCGGAAGGGCTTCCTTCCAGCCGGCGAGGTACACCACCGAGCGGTGTTTTTTTTATCCGCGCGTGGGCTTGGCCGCGGGGTCAAGAACAGGTCTGGCTTGACCTATCTGCCCTGTGTTCAACAGTGGAGACAGGCCAACACCGGAAACTGGTCAGCATGACGTTGACCTGACCCATTCGACCCAACTGTCATGCCAGCATCGGCGGTACACTCTGTTGGCATAACAGTTGGGTTGATGAGGTGTCATGCCTGACACAACCGCGCTCAAATTGCCCCAGTGAGCAGGCCAACGTTGTTGGATGGGTGGGCATGCCTGATCGACTACGCTGGCCTGCTCTTGCGGCAAACATGAGCTGGACATGAGGTGTCCTGCCAATGATGGCTGGCCTTGCAGGGCAAGCCAACGCAATCGGCCGATGAACACCCTGTCATATCCCGGTGAGCACTGATCTGTCAGTGATCCGTCGAGCTTGATCATTGCATCTGACTTGCCCCGACCACACCAGAAGAAATGGAGCCCGCTATCAAGAAACTCTCAAGCACTCCTGAAGATGGCCTCGCCAGCAGCCCCGAGCCCACCACGGCCCACGTCCAAGACGACCCTGCCAACAGCCCCAAGCCCATTGCGGCGGACGTTGAACCCATCCGAGCGCGCGCTGACCCCATCACATTGGCTGAACAAGGAACCAGCGGAACTGCCCCGGCACCACAGATGGCAGCCGGACGATCACCTGTGAGGAAGAACGTGAGTTTTTCCATTGAAATTACTTTAAATTTCAATGTAACTTATGCCGGTCTTCCTTTCCCAGACCATACGTTCTCCCAACATGCCGGTCAGACGCAGCCGTCGCATCTTTGATCAAGAGCACGGGTTAGGCAGCTTCAACATTCCCATCAGCTACGGTCGACTCCACCAAGCACAGACACGTGCTGTACCAAAAAATCCTCCTCACTGAGGACACCTTTTTTCCTCCAAGTTCACCCTCATCATCGACAACAAAATAACTTATCATTTTTCAATGTACAGTAGAACATGTATTGTACAGTTATGATAGGATGTATTCACTATGTAGTCTAAATCTAACTGGGTAGTAAGCTGGGATCTGTTCTTGAAGTCGACGCCATCGGACCCGATCTCTTCTTTTGAGCTTTCTTATCTGCCTTTTTGTCTTTCTTTTCTACCGTAGACCCCCAAGTTTTGATCCCATCGTGCATCGCATTGATCCAATCCAGCGGTTGAAGCAGCTTGATAGGCAAATCAGAGAAAGTTCGATGATTGATTGCTGATGAAAGTGATGCGAGATTGATTATGTATCTCTCGTTGTCGTTGTGAGTAAGCTCGAGTGCCAGGTTTGAGCTTTTCCTTCGCTCAACTTCTTCAGCCCGTGTTTCAGTGAGCCTACAATCGCCACGGTGACAATCGTGCTGGACATTCAGTCCAGTAACAATGCTCTGTTATCAAAGAAATCAAATAAGTAATTGATAATGTATTAATTTATCACATTCTCAAAAGGGACTCAACATTAGTTGCAACAAACACTCTTTGAGAGGTTCTCCTAATCTCCCTCATCTTGTAATAAGAACTTTCACCAAGTTTTTCAAATACAGTTGTGTGGATATAGAATGAGCGTTGATGGCTGGGCTTTTGAACTATCCAGATAGAGTTGATTACTCCAACTTTCTGAGAATTTTCGGACTGACTGATGTTGAACTTGGAAATCAAATTTTTGAAAAAGTCAGCCAATTGAAAATTAATTAAAACAGGAAAAAGATAAGCAATCATATGGATTATAAATACCAAGATGAAATAATCTTTCTTCAGTACTTGCTTTCTGTTGAGTTTGATTTCAGAAATTTGTGTTAATTCATGGTCAGGAAATGAATTTATTAGATTCTGAGGAGTGGCTATTTGATTGTCTTTTGGTACTGAAAGTTTCTTGATTTGAGGATACTTGATATCTGGAAGAGATGTTGATTGATTATAGCCAAGGGTTTGCTGGACCAGGGGATTACAGACAAAAGTGTTGGTGACTTGGTTGGAAGATTGGGAAAATTTCCCTTGTTTCTTGTTGAAGAAGTAACCACCAGAGATAATTTGACGGAAAGAGTGATAATTACTAAAAGTAACAGCTATATCTTGGCCAGGACTGTGACGGTTGGAGTGGATTGAAGCATTTCGAAGAATACCATTGTAACTTTCAAATTTTTCTGTTGCAAAAAGACAAGCCGGGCCAAATCGAAGAATAGACTCTGGAAGATGAAGTAACATGTGAAACTTGGGTTTATTAACCCATTGAGCAGAATTTTGGATGATGTGATTTAAGAATATATCAATATGATTCTTCAAGTCAGGAATATATGTTGCCATATTTTCAATGTGAGTTTGAAAGATTAAAGAACACATATGGCAGAGAGAAGACCAGATGTTGATGATGGATGGAGTCATGAACTTGAAGAAGATGAAGGGAGCTGCTTGAAGAATTATTCTAAAGTCTTTACCAATTAAACTTGAAGAATATTGTACCAAGCTAGTGGGTCTGATGGAGGGGATGTTGAGAGAATTTGTGTTGAAAGAATACCATAACGCCAAGAGTTCTTTTTCTTGATCCTCGTCCAATCCCTTCATGAAATCTTGAAACAAATATTTTACTGCCCCAAGCAAGATTACGTGTAGAGCTTCGACAGGAGTATCCTTGACCATATCAAACCCTAAATAAGAAGGAAAAAGAGGCAAAATAAAATCAGAAAATCAAACAACTGAATAAAAAAAATCAGCTAAATAAAAACCTCTCAAATCCAAGAACCGATTAAACATTCTATCAGGTTCCTTTTCTTCCAAATCCACCAATGTTTGAGGAATTGGCTGATCCATCTCAGGTGGTAATTCGCCATCTTCTTCGAGTGTTGCAATTTTTTTTGATTCAAATTCAAATAACTGTTTGCAAAATTTTAAATTCATTTGATCTCGAAAAGCTAGCTTGGCGGATTCAGTATTCAACTTTTCCAGGTTTGTTAACGGTTTCTTTGCAAACGTCCAGAGTTTCTTGGAGTTTTCAATAGTCTGTTCCATGGTTCTCAGATTATTTGGGCACTGTTTGTAAAAAAAAAGTGAGAACCCATTTGATTAAAATAATAATAAAAATAAACATACATTTGATCCATGTGAGTTCTTCTGCACAAATTTTCCCACATAAGGTATCTTCTTTCTGTCGGCCAAAGTTGGGGAACTCAAGGTACAATAGCGACAAGAGTTAAGAGAATTTCCTGGAACATGGGTGTTGGTGATTTCGGCGTGCATTGGGGAATCTGCAGTGAAACACATCAAGCTGGTCATAACATGGACTTCTTCATCAATTGTGCAATCATAAGCTTCGAAGCCATTTATGGCCATGTCACTGAATTTTAAAAAGCAAAGAAGCAAAAAAAAAATCAGAAAAAAAACTTGTCAAAATAAATGGAACCATGAGGATTCAAAACAAAATCAAATTATACTTTAACTGCTCAACAACCATTTCTCCAAGTTCCAAAGCGCCCACAATATTGGATGTGCATAGAAAATGACAGTTGAATTGCTGATTGGAGATTTTGGGCGGCAATCCAGAAAGTGTGAAGTAATAAGAGATGTGTTTATTCCATTTTTTAGATTTGTTTCCAGACGTGTCATCACAGTATAAAGTGATGGGAACATTTCTTAAGATTTTTCCCGCAGATTTTTTACGCCACGGATTTGGCAAGCTGATTTCAGAACTGTTTTCAACTGATTGAGAGAAACAAAACTTCAGTAAAAGGTTTTTGAATGAAGTTGCACTTTTAAATTCTTACTGATAAGATTGTTTCCGCAGCACTCAGACAATTTCAAACCATTCTTTAACTTGATGTCCTGATAAATGACAGATAATTTTTTGACAGAGAGTGTTTGAAGAGTAATATCATCATAAGGAATTTCAGTGGGATTGGTGGCAAGGTGAATTTCAACGGCAGAATGGTCTGGATTTGTTTTGATAGTTGGTTTATAGCATTTTGTGAAGAGTGCACCATTTTCAGTGTAGAAGAAGATGGGGATTACAATTTTGTAGCTTTCTAATTGTACAGGTTCAAATAAATAGAAATGTTTTGTGTTTGATTCGACCATCTGAACTCGAAGGTCTGATTTGAAGTCCTTTAGCCACTTGGAAGATTGGGAAAGTTTGAAGATATTGTATCCGTGCGCCTCCTCTGGCACAAACTCAAGATGTGATGCCACAAGAGGATTCATTAAATCCTACATATTTACATACATGAAACAAACCGAATTCAAATCTCAGCTTAGAAATTCACCGGGCCCAAAAATAGCTTCTATAGGTAAGTAAGTACCAACATCCTTGATTAATTCCCTAGCATCCAATCCAAACACTGGCTGACCAAAAACCGTTTCTTTTTCGATTATAGTGTGATTAACCAACGAACGAATCTTTGCGCGCTGGAGTCGTACCGCCTCCCAGCGAGGAATCCGAACGTGGTACAAGGTGAAGACAATGCGGATTTGATGGTACATGTCGCGAGATATGAGCTTATGGAGATATCCAATCAGCAACGAGCCAACAAGGTACTAAAAATATTATAAAAATCTTCGCTGTCAGTTTTTCTGTTTCTATTTGTTTTTCTTTTCCACCTTTTTACTCGTAAGAAATGTTTTCCTCACCTCTTTATTGAGAAAAGGATACCACGCAGAGTTATCCGGCCGAATTTTTGCAATCTCGGCTTCCTCACGACGAAAGAGCGGATCCGTTGCAGCAAGAGCAGCTTCTTCTGGCTCAGAGTTAATTTGGCCAACTGCGATTTCGATCATATCAGTCCATTGCAGCTCCCCTTCCTCATTGTCCGAATCCTCCTCCTCAAATTGACTCAGTGGGACTTCCTCCGGATCTTCGAATGTTTGGATCTCAACATCCCTGAATGTATCTTCAGTAAGTGTTTGATGTTCGTTCCCGTCAGGTGCAAGTTCAGTGGTCTGATCAATATCCATGGCCTCCTCATTCACAACCAAAGCGGCCGCCCTCTGTGAATCCCGTTCCATTCGACGTTCCTTGTGCTCTTGCACGAGGCTTTGATGTCGCTTGCTAATACAATGCCGTTTGCGGTTCGTCATGGTCCTTCCCTTACAAAGCCAACAAGCGTACGTATTCCCCTTTATACTTCTCTTTTCAAAAAAGTCTTCACAAAAAAAAAACAACCAAGTAAGTATTTTGTTATTCCAACTTTTTTTATGGCTCACATCTCATGTCAAAGTCCATCTTGATTGTTAAGTCTTCTCTGACTTTCAATTTTTTACGGTTTTCTGTGTTTGTCTTGACTTGAAGAGTTCCAATTGGACTGGAATCGATTCCTGGAAAGTGATGACGGCTCCGATGGTCTGGTCAGGATGTAAATGGGTCGGGTCGGCCCGGTACCAACCCGAGACCCGTCGGGTTTTGGGCCGGGTTTGGGCAGCCTACACATCCAAAAATCAATTCCTGACCCGACCCGGGAAGACCCGGTACATAATCGGGTTCGGGTTTGGGCAGGGGTCTCTTATTTCGGGCCGGCCCACGAACCCGGCTCACAATTTGTTTTGGACAAATTTCAGCCTACAACAGCCGCTTGCTAGACTACTGCGGCACAGTATCGTTAGAGATGTCACGTCCTGGACAGTGGACTCCTGTCGTGCGGCGTGCCAACTGTCCACCGCTCAAGCTTTGCAAAACCCAAGGCCAGCCGCCAGCCACCCCAGTCACAACTCACGACTCCGACTCAGTCACTCACCTGCTTCCACGATGCGACAATCAAAAAGAATAAAACCGACAAAGCGGAAGGGAGAAACTTTGGTGTCAGATGATGAAGCAGACGAATCTGACTTTCAAGTCACTCAACAGTCTCAACCCTCCGCTGCAAGTGCAAGTCAGACTGATACAACTACCCCGGGCCTCTTGAAACGTAACCGCACCGAAAGCGACACCATCGATCCCTCCAACAACAAAGCAGATGACACTGAAAATCCAACAAAGAAGAGGAAGGGGACTAGCGACATCTGGGAACACTTCACAAAGAAGGGAAAAGGTGAGTTTGAACTTTGAACTACTCGCTATACACATTCTTTTTTTCATTTCTGACTCTCCCATCTTTTATTTTCTCAGGTGAAGATGCTCGTGCTATCTGCAAGTATTGCACGCAGGATATGGACGCTAAGAGTAAGAACGGGACAAATTCGTTGTGGCGTCACCTCGGTCGATGTGGTACATATGCATCAAAGAGCAAGCAGAGCTTGCTCAAGGTCAAATCTGGCGATAGTTCATCTACTTGGATATTCTCTCAGCAAGCGTCGCGCGAACTCTTGGCCAAGATGATCATTGCTCACGAACATCCATTTACGTTAGTTGAACAAAAATTGTTTCGAGCCTTCCTGGAATCGTTGCAACCAAAGTTCAAATTGATGAGCCGTGGCACTATCCGGACCGACATGATGTCGATATACGAATCAATGAAGAAAAAACTGAAGGTTGAGTTATCAAAGGTGGATCGACTTGGCTTGACAACCGATCTCTGGACGTCATCGAACCAGACGCCCTTTATGGTTGTATCGGCTCATTATATTCATGATTGGACGCTTAAAAAGAAGCTTATTTCTTTTAAGGAGCTTCCCACTCCTCACACCGGGGTTGCTATTGCCGATCAGCTTATCGCAACCATCGTCGACTGGAAGATATTAGAAAAGGTCGCATCAATTACTGTCGATAACGCGTCCTCAAACGATGTGGCAATTGCGCGGGTGGCATCAATTCTTTCGACTCGAAGCAGTACTCCTCCAGATATGAAGGGTCAATATTTTCACATTCGGTGTGCGGCGCATATAATCAACCTTGTCGTAAAGGATGGCCTCAAAAATCTATCTGCCGCCATCAATAAAATACGAGATTGTGTCCGATATAGCAAGAGTAGTCCTTCTCGAAAACAACTTTTCAAGGAAGCAATCGATCATACAAACATGAAACGTCAAGCTCTTCCATCAGTTGATGTCCCCACACGATGGAACTCAACATATCTAATGCTGCAATCAACACTCCCGTACAAGGAAGCTTTTGAGACGCTCGCCGTGAAGGACGCGAACTTTACTAATTGCCCAACCTTTGAGGAGTGGGACGAATTATCCAAGATGACTGAATTCTTGAAGATTTTCAACACGGGTTAGTTTTTCCTTTCTTTTTTTCATGAATCAATTTCTGACTATGTTCTAATTCCTGAATGTCTCCATTCCAGTAACTTTGAAGCTAGGAAAGACCCATTACCCAACTGCTCACATCATCTACAAAAACATGAAGAAGATTGAACGGCAACTCAAAGAAAGCCTCGACTCTGGCCCATCTTACGTAGTCAACATCATCCGACCGATGCAGGAGAAATTTAACAAGTATTGGGAAAAGATGAAAAACTTTGCTTCTCTCAACGAAGCATTTGACCCTCGTTGCAAATTGGAGCGCATCGGTTTCACACTCTCAGAAGAACTTGGCGACATCGAGGCTGAAAGTCAAGTTGGCCAAATCAAAGCCAACCTCTCGTGTTGGTTCAACGAGATGATGACTTCTTTACACAAGACAAACGATGCTAGTCCCAAAGGTGGCCAATCCGAAAAACAAGCAACTTCAACATTGATGGAAGACGATGAAGATATGCGCTACAAGAAACACCTTGCTAAGAAGCAGGCTAGTCAAGCTGTATCTACTACAGCTGAGCTAGACCTGTACCTCCAAGAACCACCTGTGACAAGCAACTCCGATCAATTCTCGGTCCTCGATTGGTGGAGGATGCACGAGGCCAAATTTCCTACTCTGGCCATACTAGCTAGACGAATATTGATGAGTCCGATGACTTCAATTGCATCGGAGTCGGCTTTCTCCACAGGCGGCAGAATCCTCAACGATTACAGAACCAGGATGAAAGCCGACACACTCGAGGCATTGGTGTGCGCCCAGGACTGGATCCGTGGCGATGTAGGAATCCATGATGATGATCAGGAGGTTGAAAACAATGAGATATTAGTAATCGAATGAATTATGAGGCAGTCGGCCCCCAACCCTCCCTCCCCCCTCTTTTCTCGCTTTATGATTTATCGGTATCCCCTCCTTTTCTCTATGCTTTATTTTTTTATTTTATTATTCTTTTTTCCTTTTTTTTTACTATCCATACATGATTTCTTTTTTTCTCTATTATTCAAATATGAAAAAAACTTGGTTATCGCAAAAATTATCCGGGTTCAACCCGGACCCGACCCGGACCCGACTCATGGAATCCGGGTTCGGGTTTGGGCACAAGTTTCCCAAATTTGACCCGACCCGGCCCAACCCGTAATGCTCCCCGGGTCGGGTTTGGGCACTGTTTTCAGACCCGAACCCGGCCCATTTACATCCTGATGGTCTGGCTTATTTGACCGTTTCCCTTTTTAATGTTTTTTCACACCAGGAACCCAGCTCACCCCATTTCGATCAAGATTTTTTTTCGGCACTCAGATTGACTGCAAAACAACAAGCAGACCTTCAACCGATTGTCAGTCACCCCGCGAAATGACATCAGATTTCAGATCGGTGGCTGTGAACACTTTCAAGATTGGCATGACTTCTTCGACCCGACCAAAAAGTATAATTAACCCATCCTCCTTCCCCAAAAAGCCCTCCGACCATCCTCCAACTCCTCTTGTTTCTTCCCATCCACCCTTCCAGTCAAACTCAATCACCCATTATGGTGATTTCAACCAACGACTTTCTCTCTGGTGACCTCGATGATCCCTCCACTCAATTTGAGGGAGTTCGAGATTCATTACCGCCATTCCCTGATGCTCATCCGACTCGTACCACTCCCCCCTCTACTCAATTCCAAGCCACTGATCCCGCCGTGATTCTTGGTGACCCATCAAACAACGACGACAACAATGATGATGATGTCCTCATGAACGATCGACCCGCAGCATTGATCGGTTCTGATCTCTCAATCGATCAAGTTTGCTCCCAACTTCAATTGAAGTTGAAACTTGATCCTGAGCACTTGAACATTGCTCATTTGACCAGCAAGGTAACAAACCCCTTCCACTGTTCATGTCCATCGTTCTTCCCTTACATGTACATGTTATCAATTGTCAAATCTCTCCTCCCCTTCCACACTCCTTCTCCAGTGCACCCTTGAAGCAAGACACGCGAACACAATCTTTGCCATAGCTGCCTTTTCCCAACTCAAGTGTAGCCCTGCCCCAGCAGCCATCCATGTGTTTGATGAAAGATTCAGGGTAAGTCTCATACCATTTCATCTTGTTCTTTTTCTTTCATATTGCTGACCATTCACTCTGACTAGGATTTTGTGCGAGCAAGTGCTCGCATGATCTTGTTGAAACCAACTCTCGAAGCTTACTTGAACAATCCTCACAGGAATGGGACCCTCCCAAAAACACTCTACTACCTCACTCTCGAAGGCTCTCTCGTTTGATGTATCGTTTTGTTTAAATAAGATTCAAGATTGCAACACATGTTTTTCCTTTGATCACAGGATGCGATCGATCAACAGCCTGATGAGTGGAAAGAAGACCACCTCGCCCCTGAGTCAACTCGTGAAGATCCACCAGCTCTCGAGGCCTATCGTGATGCCGTGGGTGAGCTCTTGAAACATCAACGCAGTAACTTGCGCACCTTGGTAAGCACATTCGACTTCTACTCAAGCTCTAAGTAAAACTATACTCATCGGGCTCTTTCTGAAAGCTGTTGGGAAACATTCTTGAGACCCAAAGGATTTCAATCAAGGGAAGTGTCCCCAACCGCCATGAGATGATCACGGCTGTAAGTATTCTCTCAGTCATCCCCTCTTCTTGTTCCATTCTCATGTCACCTCTCTTCTCGCTTGTTTAGATCTATGAAGACCTTCCACCTCGTACGGCAAAGATGACCGCAAGCGAAATTCAGCACCAGGTCAATACTAACTGGGCGATGCGGATCCGAATGAGCTACGCCCGGCTTGTCATGGTCCATTATTACGTCCACAAGTCAAAGAAAACCTCCCAATGGATGGAAATCGATGAACGATTGGGTGTTTTGAGGGGTTCTTCGATTGAATTTCAAAAATGGTTGGCCAATTCACTTTTTGACTCAATTTCTTTGTGTTTGCTAACTTGTCTTCCTTTCCCAGTCACGCGCAGCTTGTCTTGGACAAAGACAATGAACTTTTCTCTCACATGAAGCATTACAATGACATTCCCAAGGAGGAATTTACTGTCCCTACCCTCGACGACGTTCGACAAGCACAAGCGACAGCGGCTGCAGCACTCGGCAACAGAAACCAAGAAGCATGAGGTTTTTCTTTTTCTTTCTCCCAAGATCGATCCTGTACCCCTCAAATAACTCCTTCATTGTTCTCTTCTTTCCTCCTCATCGGTTTTTATCATTGATCTGCCTCCATTCCTCTCATCTCCACTTGTGTACCTGTTTCCGCCAGTTTTCCTGAAAAAGAAAACCTGTGTGATCCTATGCTTAGTAATTCAAACTTTCCGCGGGTTTTCCTGAAAAAGAAAACCCGTTGGATTGTATGCTAGCCCCATTCATCTTCATCCAGCCGGTTTTTCTGGAATGAAAAACCCGCCGGATGCTTTTTTTTTGCTTCTCGCGACGTGTATGACGTTGGGGTCAAGCCAACATAAACCGTCAGTGTTGGCCAGGTCAAATGCCCAACAGCAGGCCAACGGAAAACCTCTTCCCGCGGCACTACGCAACTCTGTCGGAGGTTACGCCGGCTGCTGCCATTGTGTAGGCGCGCTGTCGGAAGTTACGCCGACAGCTGCCACTGTGTAGGCCCGCTGTCGGAAGTTACGCCGACGACAGGCTCCAACAGCGGCCTTGCATCGGAAGGAATGCCGACAGCGGCTTCCGATACATCCCGCTATGAAACATTGGGTCGGCCACCAAAGTTTTTTGGTGGGGTCGGGGAGGTCGGGCCGACGAAATTTTTTACGTTGGCTCTTAGTCGACCACAACCTGTGGTGTAGGTACTCTTCCAGTCGACGAGGTACAAGTACCTACCTCGCCGGCTGGAAGGAAGCCCTTCCGGTCGACGAGGTACTTGTACCTCGCCGGCTGGAAGGAAGCCCTTCCAGCCGGCCCTTTAGAGGGCGGGTATCCGAGGATACCCGCTCGGATACCCGCTGCGGCCGACGGATACCCGCCAGCGTGTGCGGATGCGGATTCGGATGCACAGATGGCCGGAAAAAGCAGCCGGATATCCGGATGCCAATCGACCATCTCTACCTCCAGCCCCGTCCCGAACCCCGGGATCATGCCTTAACTGTACAGTATCTGGGATTAGCAATGTTACAATCATCACTTTATTTCATCAAGGAGATGTGTTGACCATTAGCAAAGTTAGTCCATAGATGGGGACAGCTCAAATGATCCTTAATCTCAAAACTAGAAGAGATACCAATCAGCCAAATTTGTGTCAGATTGATGACAAAAAACTCCTAGCCAAAAATCCTAATGCTCTCAGGCCGCGGGGTCAACTAGCTGCTAGACGTAAGCCCCTCCCTCTGGTCGTTGCAATGCAACAAGTGGTTTACCACTCCAACAAAGGGGGGCAGGAACTTTGTTAAGTTGGGTAGGTAGGGGAGAAGTGAAGGACTGGATACTTCAGGACAGTAACAGACAGAATGTATTTTTTTTTTCTTTCAGGATTATTGGTATCCATAATTACAAAAACAGCAACATTGTGATGAGGGGTTCATACTTTTTGTCCAAAGCACGGTACATTGGAGTTTCTGAAAACTTGAATGCTGACTATCTGGACTGTTCTATATTCAAACAGCTAACATTGATGGAGGCAAATAGTACGATTTCTTGATGACCAAATCTCTTGGAAATGAAAGTTAGGGTACATTTTAGGGCCTGTACTTATGGATTGGATATTGATATTCTATGATTTTTTCTGTCTTCTACATCATAAGAATAACAAGTGGAGGAGGGATATCTTGTTGAAATCCTTTCCTTTTAGGCCAAAAACTAGCAGTTGATGATTGTCCAATTTTGAGGAGATCCAATTTTGAGCAAGATGGATTCTGGGAAAATGGATTTTTGATGCCCTTATATGGTGGTACAGGCCCTGAAATGAGCCCATTCTCTCAAATAAGTCTCCATGGTTTTACATAGCTCGTTTCATGTTATGAGAGAAGTGTAATTATCATTTTCCCCCGTCCAAAGTAGTTTTAACTGTAGGGCAAAAATATAGCCATTGTTTTTGGTGCTACATGATGTTGCACTTTCACTAGGGATTCCTGCTGTGTTCGGGTGCTCGACCTGAGCTTCAAGTCCCACGGGCTGACTCGAAGATGGGCAAGTCCATCGAAGATGGGCAAGTCCAGAACTTAAGCCGTGATCCACGCCCGACCTCAGCCCGCTCCGGGTTCGTGCGGCCCTGTTCTCAGGCCCGGCCCGAGGGATATCCCTAGACTGGATATGTCTTTCTCTGAAGCAAAAAAAAAAAAAAAAGGAAACCAGCCAGGAGGAACCAACAACATGGCAACGATGGAACCGATTAACATGACGATCGAAGAGAATCTCTCAACCGATAATGACGATACGAACGATATGGATGCCGAAGGAGAACTAGTAGACTCAGAAGACGAACAACAAGAACTAATCGAACAACAACAGCAGCAACAGTATCACAGCACCTCCTCATCTCAGCCATCCTCACCATCATTTAATACTGCCCTAACCGAACAGGAACAAGAACCCATTCAGGATATCATCAACCAGAAACCATCATCCCAATCAACTGTATATGAAGAAGAGGAAGCGGGACAACATCATCACTCAATCCTGATCGAACCAATCCATCACCCACTACAAGATTCCTCACCCAAGATGGCACCAGTCAGACTTAACAAGAAAACAACAACCAAACGGAGCATCTCAACTAGCAACAAGACTCAGCTCAAATTAATCAAATCACAACCAGTCAACCACCGATCAAACAGCAAACAGAAACGATGTAATTCGAAACTATTACCCATCGTCATGGCTGAACAACAGATCTTAGAACAACACCAGCAGCAGCAGCAGAAGGCATGTAAACAAGTGTACAATCAGCCTAACCGACAACAGCCACAACAACAACCTACCTCACCAGTCACTCGTCCCAAGTTAGGAGTCATAGGCGGACGACGTGCACCACGAGAAGGGTGGTGCAGCTTCTGCTCCAGAGAGGGCGGATTCGACGACCTTAACGGGAACATGGTCCGCGGCGAGATTCCAATCTCACTCGTCACTCAATCACTCAACCCCTCAAACGACCCATCCCACAACAACAGCAACAACCTCTCTCTCGAGCCTCTCTCTATCATCCCCAGCTCTTCTACTTCCTCGACCTCCCGCCGTAGAGGTAAAGGCGAAATGGTAAGCTGTTGGGAATGTGGTCAGAGTGGTAAGTTCTCACTCATCATGAAGAAACAATCGCGAATTTTCCTCATTTTTCATTGTCCTTGATTCGAGCAGGTCATTTTAGCTGTATGGAATTGAACAACTTGACAATCAAAAGTCACGCCAAATCATATCCTTGGCTTTGCCTAGAATGTAGGCGGTGTCATGGGTGTGATAAGAAAGGTGAGTCTGGTCCTAATCCTCTCACCCTTTCACACATCACTCTTGTTTTTCCCACCAAAACCTAACAAATCCATTCTCCAGGTGATGATGATCAGAATATGTTATTATGCGCGGTGTGTGATCGTGGCTGGCATGGGGAATGTCTGAATCCGCCTCTAAGGACCGTACCTTCCGGTCAGTTCTCACAAATACATAGACCAACATCTTATTCACTAATGTCATCTACCGTTGATACCACAGGTGACTTCACCTGTCCCTTTGATCACCAGTCCACTCAATGCATACCTCCCCTTCCAGACTCAGTCACTCTTCCCCCTTTTTCGCCCAGCCAGATTCCCCTCGGCCTCCCGACGATTCCCAACAATACCCCTCTCAAAGCCAATGGGATCACCTCCAAACCTAACAATCGAGCAACAGTCAACAAGAAAAGAAAAATGAAAAACTTGCCGTCTGATGATGATGATGAGAGCATGGGCTTTGTTGACAAGGAAACGGGCGATCCGACTGAAATGCGATCGTCTAAGAAGCTCACTGCTGGGAAGCCCAGGTATAGTCAGCCAGTTAATTTTGGGAAGCATCTCCTAAATGGTCTATTTATTTATCCCTTGTCAATTTTTTTAATAGGAATGGCACCAAGGGTACAGTCAAACGGCTCAATACTCTTACATCCACTACTTCTAGTAGTCTTTCGCCGCTGAGAAAACAAACATCGAGTTTGACTCTCGACGGCACTGCTCTTGACCCTTTTTCAAATCATCCGGATGGGTCAGATGAAAACATTGATGACGCACAAGAAGAAGAGGAACAAGGCGGGGACTCTCTCGATCCACCCAAGCCAACGAATCCGTTCGAGGGCGTGTTAAACGAGGATGAAGCTGCAATTGGGGATCGAAACATCACCGAAGACGACCTGACAAGGTTTAATCAAAGTCTGGAAAGATCCAAGGTACGCGTCCACTCCGAATAATCTTCTGGTATAGCCAAATCAAAAAGCTCACGGGACAAGTACTCTAGGCTCGTATGGAGACTTCGGCTGGCGAATCAGCCGACAGAACCAACGCTGCCGCCCCTTCGCCCTCTATGGTTGCAGTTCCCTCTCCATCAAGCGGTAGTTTGGAAACCCCGCGGCTGGCAGCCGTCCGAGAGCGCAGAAGCGGCTTACATGGCACAAGTCCATCGGGCACAAGAGGGCGGATCACACCGACAGTATTCACACCCGAGATGGAGATTGATGAAGTCTCCTCAAACTCATCGACCCATCACGAAGAAGTTGTCAAGAAAAAGGAAGCGGCTCGTCCGAGTAGGAGGACCAAGAAAAATGAAACCCATCAGACGAGCATAATCAAGTCGATCCGATTTGGAGAGTATGAGATCGATGTATGGTATCAAGCGCCCTACCCTGAAGAGTACTCGAAACTGCCAGGTGGCAGATTATGGATCTGTGAGCGATGTCTGAAGTACTTCAAGACCGAGTTTGAGATCTCTCGGCACCGTATGAAGTGTAAGAACTTTTATCCTCCAGGGGACGAGATCTATCGAGATAATGACGAGCGCCATGGGGTACGAATTCAGATCTTCGAAGTAGATGGAAGGAAGAATAAGATGTATTGTCAGAATCTATGTCTCTTGTCGAAAATGTTCTTGGATCATAAGACACTCTACTATGACGTCGACCCGTTCCTCTTCTACGTGATCACTCAAACTAGTCTCCTCTCCAATCACCCCTCTTCTATCGATTCATCCCCCTCTAATCCTCGTTGTCAATTCGTCGGCTATTTCTCTAAGGAAAAACGTAGCCCAACTAATAACGTTAGTTGTATTATGACTCTTCCTGTCCTTCAAAGGAAAGGCTGGGGTAATTTGTTGATCGACTTCAGTAAGTTTCTCAATTATGTTTTTTTTTTTTTCAAGAGCCTGCTTTTGAGAGATTGTTGATGATATTTTTTTTTCTCTATGTTTTAATAAGGTTATCTATTATCAAAGAAGGAGAAAAGGGTTGGGACACCTGAGAAACCACTGTCAGATCTAGGCTTACTTAGTTATAGAAATTACTGGACCCTATCAATCTCGAAATTTTTAATGAGCTGTGATCCAAGCAATGAAGAGGAACAGATCACGTTAGAAGACATAGCGAATCAGACCTCGATTTCGTTATTGGATGTCTATTATACCTGTCGACACAAGAACTGGATCCACGAAGTCAAGCCGAGCCCGCTTTCAAATACTTCGGTCCCAGTTGTCCATCACCCGGTGGTTCCCAAACGGAAATCGCACAACTGGAACGGACGTCGAAAGCCGCCGAGCTCAGTGCATGCATCTCCTGCTCCCGTCCATGCTTCACAAGCTCGTCCCAACCAGCCCGGAGGCTCCTCTAACACCAATCCATCCGCCCCTTCTTCGAAGACCAACTCATCATTGATCATTGACGAAAAAGCAATCCCGAAATATTATAATATCCGATGGGACCCTCTGGAAGTTTCCCAGATCGTCGAGAAATCGGCGCAGAAAGATTTGCTCTGTCTCAAACCTGAGAAGCTCGTGTGGTCTCCTTTCCTGACCACGCGTGCTCAAGGTCTGTCGATCGACGTTAGCCCGATCGCTATCCCCCTTATCCCTAATACTGATCCCTATCAATTCTCTAATAAAAAATTGGCCTCCTCTTCTGTCGATCAATCTCCTTTGATTTCTTAAAATCAAAATCCAAAAACACTCAGTTTCAGTGCGCGCTCTCTTTGTTTCTTTTTTTTTTGATAAGACTGATCCCTTGCGGGGCTGCTCTCTTTTCTGTTGTATATACAACTTCATCCCATTTACCATCCATATATACAAAACTTTTTTCTTCTTTCTATCAATTGATTTTGTATCCATTCTTTTTTTTTTAAAAAAAAGGGAGTTGAGTCTGAACAAAAAAAAAGATAGATTTTCTTGTATGTACTTCTTAAATCCTCCTTTTAATCACTCCATGATTCCTATACTTTCTTTAGTATGGTTAATAATTCAAGTTACAACCATCCTGTGTGACGTCTCCCTTGCCTTGTTTTTGTTGTTTTGTTTTTTCTGGCATGTGTATGTGTGTTTACGGTTTTGTTTTGTATGTTAACAGTGCTGTTGCCTCTTCTCCCTTCATATTTGGTTTGGTTTGGTTTGATGTTTCTGATTGTGTTTGAAGAAGATGACTTGGTTATAGTTTTTGGTAAATAGATTACATACATCATCAAGGCCAGGTGAATAATTTGAATGTGTGTATGTAATAACTTGGCTAGTCAGGTTGATTTTTTTTATTTACAAAATAGTGATAATGCTAGAGGCTTGGTGATATCAAGACTCAAAGACATCTTCTCTATGACTAGACTTGTCTTCCGACATTTGGAGATGGTCACAACTTGAAGGGACCAGGTCAATTCCTGGGTCACCCAAAGAATGCAAGTCCTTTGTCTACCCATCGTTGTCACAATCCAAAAAAGGATACTGATGCCCCACAGAGTGACAAATCTTTACAGCTTTAAGAAAGACCGTTATATGAGACTATGTTATAAAGCTTTGAGAATAGCAATGGCAGGCATCAGATATTGTAGGAAATAGATATCTTCTTTGTCTTGGTAGTAGACCTCATGCATTGTTGCTATGCAGCTATATACACACTTAAATCTCACTTTTAGTTCTCATGCTCTTTTTCTCAAACCAGTAAAACTTGGTGTCTTCTGGGGCATCAATAAATAATATAAAAATATCATGTTTATCTCTTGAGTTGACTTCATCATCATGATGTAATAACACTTCCACTATCAAACTTCATTCATGATATTTTTCCTGCTGGTAGTAGATTTCTAGCAACATGTGATGAGACCTCCCTCAAAGAATTGGCAGTAAATATATTTTTCATAGTTCATGTAAATCCATGTTGAACAATGCACATCCACAGATGGATGTGCCAAAGTCAAAACAGGATTGGACCTTTAATGCTGGACTGAAAAAAAAAAAACAATAAAAGGGCTCTTTTGGCATCAGAGGCCACAGACTTTGGATTGAAAAGTAGTCAAGGCCGCCAAAAGTTGCGCAAGTATCAAGGCTCCATTTCTGTCTACTCCAAAAAACAAACTAAAAATAGCTTTCATTTATTTTAGCCTGAAAATCCTTTCTGCTCCCGCAAGCAGGTGAGGTGTTGCACGTAAGCCTCTCCTACGGAGAGCGCTCCGTGCGGGGTCCTCCAGACCTTCCATTTGAGTGGCTTTTTTAAGCTAGCTGTTTAGAAGAACATAAAAGAGACCCTACTGGAGCCTTAAACTGACCAGGATATCTCATCAAACCGTTCTTCATATAATCAAAGCAACAATACAAAAACAACAAAGCAAAAGCTTTATAACATTTCAACTAACATCCGAACAAACTCACAAGTAAGACTTACTGTTGAGAGGTTAAAGCCTAGATAGATACACTAACACCAAACTTCAGTGTCTGAATTCGTAGGCCAGGCCCAAACTCAATCAGTTCCTCCAAACGCATTTGCAAGTCCGTTGCAAATAGCTGCCAACAGGAGCAAACCATTGGCAACCCTCCCAAACCAAGTCATTGAGAAAGACTTTGATGTGGTAGCCGCAGTGAAAAAGTTACTAAAAAGAAAATTTCCTTTTAAATTCTTTACAAACTACATAAATAGTGGAGGACTTCCCATTTCCTTTTAGAGTGCTTTTTAAGCCCTCCCCAGTCCTAATTAACACCTCAATCATAATTCTAACCAGCTCACATGAGAGCTATCTTCACAAGGCTTGTGAAAAAACAATTTTTTATACCAAAAATTAAGATCTAGGGGGTGTAAATTGAATTCTGGGAGGGTTATAAACCGCAACGGGAAGTCATCCAGTATCCAAGATGGTACTATCCACCAGGTCAGGAGTCAACCATGGCACAAAGCCTCCCCCAACACACAGAGGCCGAGGAAGGGGACAAAGAGGAGCTAGAGGTAGCCATCAAAAAGGCACCAAAAGGTTAGCCTCTTCATATCAACCTCATACCACTGATTCATTGCTGACATCAATCAAATCCAGCGTTCAACGGAGAGGAGCCATTGTCAAACAACCAACTGAACTTGATCAACATGCTGATTTTTTCAAAGAAGGTCTACATGAACGCAAATGAATCAATCCAGAAACAAATTCTGTTTGGATCTGGAAGGGAATTTCATGTCATGGTACCACTCCCTTAATTGTTGCTTTTGGTCATCTCCCCAAGCTGTACAATAACAGATTGGTCTCATTTGGGATGTCTAGTAACACATTATCCAAAGAATTTCATTTCTTCCTCATTTCTAGAATATTTACAGAATTTGGGAAGCATTGCTTGGGAATAGCAACCAAAGTGCTGTAAGTTTGGCCATGGGTGAAATCAAGATAAGATGATTCAATGGATTTGCATGTTTTCAAACCTTACTACATACACAATCTGAATTCAAAGAGGTAGGGAGAATGTTGGTCCAATCAACAATATCTGACTTGTCTCACAAGTCAACACACAACATTTTTGGGATGTATGTTTGGAAGTTCTAAACCATGCATCCATTTTCACCCGGATTTCCAGACTCTGAGATGCATTTTTTTAGAAAGATGTAGCCCTTAATTAAGGGTTTGAGTTGATCCTACAGGTCCTCAGATTTTGATGAAAAATTTATCAATTGAATCTGATTTGCAGAATAGAGCACCTCTTATGTTTGGGGTTTGAAGTTTAACAGATCTTGCCCTGAACAGGTTCTTGATGCCAAGAGGGGGGGAAGGTGGGGTTGGGGAATTAGATTCCATTGAAAAATTATTTACAGTTATCCATTGGAAAATTATCTAAAGTTAGAAAGATTCTGTAAAGGCTATCTGGAACAGCATTTTTTTGGATTACATTTCATCCAGGTACAAAGCCCAAAACAAGACATTTTATAAACAAAAAGATAGGAGGTGTTTTGCAACCAGGGAGGTACTTGCAATCAGTTTGAGATTTTATGAAGTTATGGACTGTATAAAAGCTCAAGATCTTCAGTAACAATACATATGAACAAAATGCTGTAAGCTCATGAGTGATGTTGCATGATGTTTCAATGGATATCTATGTTTTTAAACATGATAATTCAGGAAAATAGGCATGGATGGAATAATTTTCACTCAATAGTACATATCTTACTTGTCTAACAACTCACAAAGCTGTTGGCATTTGTATATGAATGTATGAACCACAACATGAAACAATTTTGAGCTTGATTTCCTCTGAGAACCTTTTGCAGTAAGACAGGTGTCAAAAGGGATGGAAATCACTAAAGGGCTGTATGAACTGAAAAGTGTTGCCATATCAGCCTTATCATGATACAAATTGCAAAACAAGCCACATTTGAGAAAATACATAGTGGGTACACTAGTCAACTCCCTATTAAGCCATACCCCTGGGTGGACATGTTTTTCTATGGGTTAATGGGGAGTATGGGTTAATAAGTCAAGTTTTTAGGTATTTTGCCCATTTTGGTGGACCAATTTCCTAGAAAAATGTATGGCTTAAGAGGGGTTATGAGCTAATAGGTCATGGATTAAGAGAGAGTTGACTGTACTTTGCACCTAGGCAGGGCCTTGTGATAAGTTTAAGATTGTCTGAAGTTCTGGAGCATAAAATTTTCGAGATGGTAAGTTGCTGGAATCCAGTGGTGAATTGTAGCATGTTTCAAAGATGGTGTGATTTAAGCTATTGGTCATTTCATGATGAGAGTCTTGAATTTATCTCCAAGTTTTGAAACCATGACACATAATTCCCAAACAAAGAGGCTTGGAAAGAGACTTTTGGGGCTCATGATACATCACTCACTTTCCTCACAAAATACATTGATGTTGGCATGAATGTTTGAATGATTCATACCAGGCAACTATCTCATAGGTTTCAAATGTAATAAAAAAATTGAGATAGAAAATGTTTTCAAATTAGCTTTATCTTGATACAGAGGACAAAACAATTGGTGTTCAAAAATACATAGCCAGTAAGAGAATTGCAATATATAAGTTAAAAAAAGTGAAACTCTTGTACATGAACATGTCCCCACATCACTGATAACTGTCTAATGTAGCAAGGAATTCAATGGGAACGGGTTGTCCAATTTGGGTGGTTTGTAAACCACATAAATACTCCCATCACTTCTATCCATCTGATGACCAATCAAGACGGATCAAGTAACAAGCAATTTGAAAAGTAAGTCAAAAGTCAAAAAACTATTTTAGTTGTTGAACTAATTTACTATCAACAACCTTGGAAATCTTTGTCTCATGTATCTCAGAGCAATAATTAGCTATTTCATGAATTGAGAAACCAAATCAACTCACTGACTATTTGGACATTTGTTCTAGATGAAATTTGCTACCCTAATTACCTGCCTTTCCCTAGTTTCACATATTCATGGAGATTTCTATCCTTCTGTTGAGCAAGGATATACTGCTTCAGAATACACAATCACCCTTGAAAATCAAAAACATGGAAAACTTCGTGACCCATCCACAGTAAACTATCACATGCACGAATATCGTTCATTAGCAGGCACCTCAGTCGATTGTATATTTTCCATAAAAGGAGGGAGAATCTCCATCAACAATCCATTTTCTAAATATTGCCACGCATTTGTATTCCAGGATGGGACAATAGTGTCATCCAAAAGCTATGAAAGTAGAGCACATCTATTTGATCCAAATCACCTTGGAAGGATTGTGGGCAACTTGGATCCATCTTTGTCAAAGGAGACAAAAATAAGAGTGCAATACTGGTTTAAAGATACAGAATAGTTGCACAAAATGAAAGCCCAACTCCTATTTATGTCATTGATAAACCAGCAAAGTAAATGTTTGAATTTCTAGCTTATCTAACCATGTGAATTTCTCTTTTCCACTAGCCAGTAAATCAGCAAGCCCCTACTATGTAGGAATTTCATTTTGTTCTCAAACATAAAACCCCTTCATTTCCCCTTCCCGTCTTATTTATTTTCTATCTATCTCAATTCCTTGAATTGTTATTTGGATCAACACAATCATCCTTCTTAAATGTGTGATTTCTTTATGGTTGTGTAGGCCTGCTGAGTGATTTGTATTCAAAAACTAGTTGCTGAATCTTATCAAATTTACTCTGGTACCTTATCCTCAAGACTGGGTGTGAATTCCTTTTGCTGTCATCTTACTGTACTCAGTTGTTCTGTTTCCTTCTCTGATGTCCTGTTCACCATATACAAATAATGAACCACAGTTTGAATGTGTGTACTCAGTCTAATTCAAACTAGCCTAGTGACAAAAAGATTCTTTGATTCATTTTGAAATACTGAGTACTGGTTGATGCACTTTCTCTTTGAAAAAGTATTGAATGAAAGGAAATCATACATCAAATTTTTCTGCAGATTGCACACCTGGATTTGAATTCTGATGGTCAAATCCAAGGAAGTAGTGACTTATGCATCATTTTTTGGTTGAGATTGAGAAGTCTGTCCCAACTTGCCCCTGCATGCTTCAATTAGAAGTCTAGAAAAATTAGAAACAGAAAGTGCCAAAAGAGTTCAAGGCTATGTATTCCTGTGTCACAAAAGGCAACATTAGATGATAAAAGCCAAAATGAAGATAGCTATTTATCTCTTTGTTCTGGGACGGTGGAAGATAATGAAGAAGATTTTGCTTTGAAGGTAAGAAAAAGTGAAGTCCTGCCTTGTCAGTGTCCTAGATTGATTCAATTTTCTTTGGAGAATGATTTCTTCCTCATCAAAATACTTCTTCCCAATAATTTGGGGTAGTTCTGGATCCCTTTCCCAAGGTCTCAGGGTGTCCTCGAAGGGTAAACTGTTGGTATTGGGATCCAGGACAGCTTGCCACAAGCCCAAGCACCAGCAGGTATCCTAGGAAATGGTCACTGGGCCGGCTCACACATGCCAATGGGTATTCTGGGTATCTTGGGGGAGGACAGGAATTGTTGGTAGTTGTAAATGGTATTCATTGCAATAAAATTACACTTTATAACTGTAATTGACATAGATTGCAATGCAAACAAAAACAAAGAGAAAAAAAAATACTTGCAGGCTAAATTTTTGTTGTTGTTGGAGTTTTCATCATCATTGTCTTGGTGAGTCTGAATCTGGGGTCCGGTCGGAGTCCTTCCTCCCATCTCCCTGCAAGTACATGACGGTTATACCCTTGGTTTGGACTCTGGAGGGTATACCTGTGTCCAAGACAGCCCCACTGGAAAAAAAATCCCATGCCCAAGGAAATTTCACAGGTGCCTCATTTCACCTTCCAGGCTCAAGGGTATTCCCTTTGGTCCGGGTGCTGGACGGCCTCTCACTCAAAGACCAAGTTTTTCATCTATGGCTTTGATATATGGCATAAAAAATTCTCCACTGAATGTCAGATCAGTGAGGGTTCCATCATAAATTTAAAAAACAACCAATTCAGTGATCTGATGGAATTCTGATGAAATCTCATAATTCATTCAATGATGGATCTATGGACTGACCCAAGAGGCACAAAAAAAAGTTTGTAAAATAGTCAATGTTCTGTTGGGGTCAGCATTGCCCACAAGGACCTTTGATGTATACCCAAAAAATCAACAATTTGTCAATGAAACAGATTGGAGTTACTGCTGACCACTGAGATAATGTTTTGAGCAGTTTGTAGTGATCCATTGTCAATTTTACCAATCAAATCAAGATGATATGTTAGTTTTCAGTTTCACTGGAAAAATGGGGTTTTTACACCATATAATAGCTCAGGGAGGGATCAAAAGCATATATTGTTATTAACAGTTTAGTATTAAGCAAACCACAAGCCAAAAGATAAAAAGAAAAAAGATACCAAGGATAGCCCCAGATTTTCTGACTCTAAGGAATGCCACCAAACAAGAGCCAAACAATGGCAATTGATGCCAGTTTCACTTCCCCTCTTATAATCTCAACCTGCCCTCATCTCTCCCTTTTTCTTTTGCTAATTTCCTTCATTTATTTTCAAACTTCTTTCCCTGCTCCAATCTCTTGATTTTGCTTCAAAATCACATCTTCCCCTTTCCTGTTGTGAAAATTAATCAACTCAGTTCCAATCAAGTGCTTGGATTTATTTTTTTGTGCTCTTCAGATCAAACTTGACACAAGTGCCATGGTCAGATATGGTGTTCAACCATGCTGAATCACAAACTTGTAACAGATGGACAGTTGCAGGACTCCAGGAGTGATTAAGGTTTCAAATGTTCTGGTTCAGGCTATTGGTAATGTTATGATATTCCCAGTTGATCTCCATGTTTGTAAATTATGTCACATAAATCACAAACAAAGAGGCTGGTAAGGAGGCCTTTTTGCCAATGATGCATCATTCACTTGTCTCCTGATTCACAAGGGTATTGCATGCATGTTTTAATGATGTGGGATGAGTAAGTTATACTTTCATTTCCTATTCCTGAACTGTTCTACATATGGAAATATATCCCTTGATGCTTTCCTTTGGTTTCAATTGAAACTTGACAATGAAATAACAATTGGTTGATCAATTAATTGGGATTTAGAAATGGAGTTCCTCTTTTTGGGGGGTTGGAAGGTCATCAGAAGGTGCTGGATTCCAAAGGGAAGAAATGGAAGAAAATTTTACTAAACTCAAACTTTCTTCACAGTTGGGAATGTGTTGGGTGAAACAAATGTGGCAACATCTCTCATGAAAGCATAATTTTTGAAAATAAAATTTTAAACATACAAACCCCCAAACAAGTCATTCTCAAAAAAAAAAAATCAGGTTCTTTGTATCAACACTGAATTGCTATCTGCATTATCCCAGTAATGTAGTGCACATTATCCCTTCCCTGATACATTAGCATTTTCTGAAGTGGGAAATTTGTCTCTCAGCCAGTAGTGTAATCACATTATCCAGAGGTTAAGCAACCCTCAACACATTTCAAGTGGCAATTTTTGGTTTTTGGCAGCAACACATGCCATAAATTTCCAAAGAGTATCATGTGTCTTAAAAGACAAAATTGATAGCGCCATGTGAAAAAAAAGTTCAAAAAATTATGAGGAAAGTAATAATAGTGAGTTTAAAATCACTACTTCATCATTACACTTCCATTACAGGTAATGTAAGTACCCAGTGTTGTTTGTATCCAGGGTGGGAATTTGAGCTGGACAGAAGGCTGCAGTACTGATTGGAAACACACAAAAAAATTATAATTTTGTGAGTTTAGCCACAGGGAAAAATAATATTGATAGGAGATATAATATCACCAAATCCACCATTACTTCATGACTGGTTTGGAAAGGACCTTAATAGGGGGTATCAACTATAACCAAATCCACCATTATTTAATTGACTGGTTTGAAAAAATCCACCCTTTTTTAAACATGTTGGTTCTTCATTTAACCCCTTTTGGGGCCCATTGATGCAAAAAACTATTTTTAAAAAAGTGACTGGTTTCTAATGGTGGATTTCCTATATTTGATACCCCCTAATAAAAATAATGTGGTTTTTCCGCGTCTACACGCGGTTTTGAAGCAGCGCAGCACACACGGATTCCGCGTTTACACACGGTTTTGAATTTAATTTTTTGAGTTTTTTTGAATTTTTAAAATTGTTTCCTGTGTTTTAAAGCGTGTAAAATTTAATGGTAAAACCCATTTTAAGTGAAAAAATGGGTCTAATTTCAGTATTAAAAATGAACCGTTGAGTTTTAAAAGAATTGGATTGCACCATTAAATTCTACGCACATTGAAACCTAGGAAATAATTTTAAAATTTCAAAAAAGCATAAAAAATAAGGTACAAACATGTTTGCAAACAATTAATTGAGAAATGAGTGAAAAAACAAATAATTAATAATTAAAATTCTTTTTTATGCAAAATGGTTTTTACCATTAAATTCTACACCTTTCAAAGTGTAGGAAACAACTTTAAAAATTAAAAAAAAAACTTGAAAAATAACCCATATTTAAAAATTTAATTACGAAACCTTGTTTAAATGCGGAAACCGCGTGTGCTGTGCCGCAGCAAAACCGTGTGTAAACGCGGAAAAACTGTGTTTTTTTATTAAGGCCCTTTAATCATTAATTTTTTTTTCACTCATTTCTCAATTAATTGTTTGCATTAAAAAGTTTAACATTAAACCTCAAACCGTCTCGTTCCACAGGTACTGCTACTAGCGATGTCGCATGAGACATTAATTCTCCTACTGACCCTGGGTTTGGGGGAAACTCCAACTTTTTGCCCCCTCTTTTTATAATATTTTCATTCTTTTGTTCCAATCCTTCTTCCTCCATGCTTCTCAATCTCCCTCTTTTCTTTCACTTCTTGTTCAACTTGTCCTTCCTCATCCGTTCAACAAAGACATCACCTTTTTGATCATTTTGACACTTCCCCGATTCTAAAGATGCCAAACTTTCACCCGGGCCATAAAGTGCTGTTCACCTCTCAACACATAGACATATTCGAAATAGGCAACAAGATCCAAAAATTAATAATAAAATATTTATCAAGTATTTCTCTTCTTGCCATTGTACACTTGAAACATAACTTCATATCCCGCACTGGATGTGCAGTAAAATGAACCTGGATATGTAGTATTTTTATATATTTCTTTGTTCACCTCTTCACACCATTTTTTTTTAAAAAAAAAAACACTGAATATCCAGTTTTTTTTACTCCATATCCGGTACTGGATATGAGGTAGTGTTGAAAGTGAAGGTGTGAAGAGGTGAACAAAAAAAATATAAAAATACTACATATCCAGGTTTATTTTACTGCACATCCAGTGCTGGATATGAAGTTATGTTTCAAGTGGTACCTAATCCATCTCCTGCTTTCATTTCCTTTTGCGCGATAACTATCTCTGTGTACTATTATTACTTCCCTTTTGGGGATCCTCTACCACTCATCCAAACAGACCAGAGAAAAGATTCAGAACAAAAAAATCTAGCTATACTATGTTGCATCAATTGTTTATATCAGCTGGAGACTCTTCAATAGGAACCAACTAATGGCTATGGACACCCCAGGCACTCTACGATACCCCGTCGTGTAAACTAGGGATGGGATGGTCGGAGGAGATCAATCTACGGGCTTGGGTGGTGAACTGGATCATCAGGATATCTATCACTCTCCAGCTGGCACAGCTTATCATCACCACCACAGCGGCCTATGTCCATTGGTTCTACATGAGGAAACCACTCCAGAGATATCCTCCCAAGATGATGAGCGCAACCTCCCTCTTCCTGGCCACCAAAGTCGAGGAAGTACCTAGGAAGCTGGAGTGTGTGGTTTGCAAATACTTCTCCGTCAACAAGGATGATAATGAACAAACAGGCCCAATCAGTGATTCTTCAAATGTAACATCAACCATACAATATACAATATATACACACCCCATCCTCTGCTCTCCCTGCCAAAAACTTGCTGTACACCTCTTCATCAGAGTTTGCTTCCAAAAATGGCCGATTGGGCCAAAGCCAAGTTGATCGCTCAGGCCGCCTGGGGGTTCATCAACGACTCCTTGATGTCCCCGCTGTGTCTTGTCGCCAAACCTGAGCTCATTTCTGCCTTGGCCCTCCTCCTCGCCATCTCCCATTGTCTCTCCAAATCTCCACCCTCATATCCGGACCAAGAGGGGAATCATCAAGAGCCACATAACATCAAAAAAATCCGGTCAACTTCAATCGTTTCCTCAACCTTCCCCTCGCAACGGACCTGAAGAGGGGTTGATCCAAGAACCCTGGTGGAAGGCTTTCCAAATTAAAAGTCTGGATGAAATACACCGTCAGGATCTTTCTCTCCTCTAAGAGTCATCTCGTCAACCAATGAAATAACAGGTTTCTTTTGTCTTTCAACAGAAGTCGCCAACGCAATGCTTGACCAATATACTCAATCTGTTTGTGATTAAATTTGCGACGGGCAACCAAGGTACGTTCCGACTATTTACTACACTCGGCTCATCCTACTTTATTGTAAAAATATACAATCTTGGGTCAATCTGAAGTCAGCCAATGGGATTGTTCATTACAAATTTTGGGACACGGCTGATGACTTGGGCTTATTAGTCAACAGCAGCCAATACGATCAGGTGTTGACTGAAGGAGCCCACTTCAAAAGGTTTTCAACTTAAATTAGTGTTTGCGATAATACTGTTATTTAGTCCACCAGCTGCCCCCATGGCTTTGTTTGAGAGACATTGGAAGGAAATGGGCAAGGAATTGGTCTACATGCTGAGGAATCGGTATGGCTTAGAAGATCCCAAGCCAGAACAATTTCAAAGCTTCATTATACTTTGACTAGAAAAAATCTTACAAGATGTAAGCTTGCGATTAAATCCAGAACAGGAATGTTTTCTGATCTCTATCAATGCTCAAGATTGTGGAGAGTGCCAAGCAAGGTACGTGAGCAATGATTAGGCAATAATTCTTGGTCTCTTGAACACGGCTCAACTTAAACTCTACAATGTGGTTTATGATAACTTCTCATGAGTGCATTCTGGTCATTTAAAGGTGTATTATCTAGATGGACCAGAAGGAACTGGAAAAACTTTCTTGCTGGATTTCATCATAAATTCTCTTAGTTCAAACAGTTGGACTGTGATAGTGGTGGCATTGGCGGGGTTGCAGCTCTATCATTGACAGGGGGTCAGATGGCCCATTCCTGCTTTAATATCCCGGTCCAGTTTTCAGCCAATTTTTATTGTGATTTCTTGCACAAAGACAAAACAGGGAACTTATGGACTGCTGATCTGTTAACACAAGGCAGTAGAAATGTTGTGAATTCAAACTCGCACATTCTTTTATGCATAGTCGATTATGCATCCTTTCATTCTCGCGCTGTTATTCGTCATCAGCAAATTCATTGCGTCACTCGACTTTTCGACAAGCAACTTCAACTTTCGCCGATCATTTTCTTTTTTCCCTTCCGTACTAGTTGCTCACCACAAATCTCAATCATCATCAATCAAAATCCTCCGAGGTCCTATTCGATCGCTGATCAATCAAGTTTCAATACTCGACTCATCAACCGACCACTTCTAACATTCAGGAGGAGCTAGATCTAGCTTCTGGGCAGGTAGCGTCAATTGTGTTACATTCTCACTGTTTGTTACAAGTTATTGACCGTTTCTTATTTTTTCATTATCAGGCTATTTCGTTGTGATAATCCTCGTGTTAAAGAAGTCGACGTTGTTGTGTTTTCGTATTTTAACTTTGTTGCATTCTGATCTGATTCATCAGGTATTTTTTATTTCATTTCTTTGTTGATTGGTTATCAGATTTGATCATACTTACTTATCATTACTTTTTGTTAAGATTATTACTTCTATTGAGTTTTATAATATTATTTCTATAAAGTATTGATTCAACCATTTTTACATGGTAGCGAGAGTCAATACTTGATAGTTATAAAACTCAAAGTAAGAATAATCAGTGTTTTCAGGTCAAGCGATTAGATGTCGACTCATCAGGAGAAAACTGCGATGAACGATTCGTCAAGTGGCGATGAACATCAAGAGAAGGCAAAATTACTCAAACTTAATCGGGACAATTGGACTGAATGGAAGCAATTTTTTGTGGATCTATTAACCGGACGAGGTCATGAAGAAATTTTCGACCCTATCTGGATTGAAGAACACAAGAAAGAGAAGATATTCAGAAAGAAGTCTGCACTTGCGTTTACGCTTCTTCGTCAATGTCTGTCATCCGATCTCAAACCTATCGCCGCTGCCGCAAATACATTCACCGATGCTATGAAAGACTTGGCCGATACTTGCGGCGAAACGTCTCTCATTAAACTCGGAGATAAATTATATGCATTAGTATGCTGTGATTATACTCCAGGCACCTCAATTGGTGCTCACGTTTCTAAATTTCAAAATCTATACAATTCGGTTAAATCATCTTTTTCGGTTACTACTACGACTATGTACGTCGATACGCAAATGGCCGGAATCTTTTTCCTTAAAAGTTTTCGTCATGACGATACCCTCGCCGCTCTTATTCAAAACCTTTACGATGTCGTTCCGTTTACTTTTGAAAAGCTTGCTGCTCGTATGAACATCGAAGATACTCGTGGCGATAAGCCATCTGGATCATTGAATGTTGTTTCTCAATCTCAATCAAATTTCGTCCGACCGAATAAAGAAAAATTCAAGGCTTTACCTTCGCAACGATTCAGGAATGTTGCTCCGACTAAAAATCGTCCGTCTGGCTCAACTTATCCATCTGGATCGACTGATGTCAAGACGAAGAAGAATGAAATTCAGAAAATGATTCATGATCAAATTGAATCATTGAAAAAACTTCAGAATCAAGACTTGAATGCGATTGAAGATTCTGAGAATGATGAAGATGATCGCGTTGAGGCTATCGATGAAGGAAACGATTCGGATGATTGGGGTTTCTTTATCAATGAAAGCGCTGAAAACATCGACTCAGACAACATTTCTGATGATTCACACACTCTAGTGGATGTCGAGATCGACAATCAAGCTAGAGCAACTGGCGTACCTAATCAAGCTACGGATGATTCAGGATTCTTTGTGGACGAAGACAATAACTTTCACATCGGTACAGAATCTGCCGACGTTCGTTTGATTCTTGATACAGGGGCTTCAAAATCGACCGTGTCTGATCGCCGACTGCTATCTGATATGAAGCCGATTGAAAAGAAGATGAGAACTTATTCTGGTTCGATTGAAATTACTCACATCGGATCGTTGAAATTTGGAAAATATTTTATTTACCCGGTTTATTTAGCTCCCGCCGGCAAATGTAACCTCATTTCAGTTTCCCAACTGGAAGATCATGGTTTCAGAATATTTCACAAGAATAAACTCATCACTGTCTGTATGGGATCAACAATCATCGAAAAATTCCCTCGATCTGGCGATTTATACGTTTCATCTAGCTCGTATCATGTCACAGCCAACTCTCTGTTCTCAATCTGTGAAAAACAGTCGTTGAAAGACTGGCATATTATTCTCGGTCACCCATCGGATATTTACATGCAGAAATTCTTCGACCTAATGAAGATATCGAAAAACTCTCAAACCGGTTCTTCAACTGAATGTGAGGTGTGTAGAATGGCTAAATTGAAGCGTTCCTCCCATTCAAATCCCCTTCCTTCCGCCTCGTCTCCATTCAAAATGATTCACATGGACGTTTTACAGGTTTCTCCGGTCTCTCGTGGCAGTTTCAAATATATTCTGGTCATGATCGACGATTTCTCTCGATTCAACCGAATTTATCTGCTTCAAAGAAAGGATCAGTCTGAATCAAGGATTATGTCTTATATCAATGAGATTAAGAATCAAATTGATATTTATCCTGCCATCTTGCACACTGATCGTGGTGGTGAGTTTGGCTCTAATGTTCTAAAAAACTTTCTACTTGAACGGGGTATCTCTTTAGAACAAGGTCCAGCTAATTCACCTCAAACAAATGGTTTAGCTGAACGGTTCAATCGCACTCTTTTGGTCAAAATTCGATGCATGCTCGCACAATGTACGGTTCCTCTCAATTACTGGGACGAAGCTGCAAAATTTGCTTCAACATTGATCAACATGTTGCCTTCAATTTCTCTTGCTTGGAAATCGCCGATGTCTATCCTAGTGGATTCCAACTTGAAGATTGAACAATCCAGACATGTTCAAACATTGATTCCGTTTGGTCTCAAAGTTTACGTTCACAATCAATCCCCCTCGTCGAAAGTCCTTCCTCCATCGAAAACACTTTTATTCCTCGGGTATGAGCCCAAATCGGATGCAATGCGGTTCTTCGATCCCATATCTCGTAAAATCGTAATCAGTCGGGATTTTACTCCATCAAAATTATCTTTTCCATATGGTTCTTCAAAAGCGATGATTAAGTTACCTTCAACTTTGCCCACATCATTCGTACCTGAAAAGATTGTTAACAAAGAAGATTACGTATCGGTTCACATTCCAGAAGACAAGTCTAGCCGTGTTCCTCTACCGGTTACCTTACCTTCAACCTCTGTTACACCTCAAATGAATTCTCCGATCAGGTCTTCTCCCCCTTCTCTTCCTCCGATTCCTCCATCTCCAACTCTCGATATGTCAACCCCAACTCTGATTAATCCTCCGGTTTTACCTCCACCGACTAAGCACTACACTTATACTTGGGGTGCAACTAGTCAAAAAGCTTCGAAGGATATCAGTTCAAAAATTGATCCATCACATATCATTGAAGGTTCACGTCGTAAAAATCCCGGTTTGCCAGATTTGAATATTGTGTTGGACGATGAATTCCCCGAGCTGAACTTAAATCAATCAGTATCAATCAATGAAGCCATGATGGATAATGAACATGAAACAGAATGGAGTGATGCTCTTTCATCTGAATTTCATTCTTTACAAGTCAAGAATACCGGAATCCTAACTCCACCTCCTTCTGACGACAAGATTATTGGCGGAATGTGGCTATTGACTCGAAAGCTCAATGAATTCAACGAAGTTTCAAGACATAAAGCTCGCTGGGTTGTGTTTGGAAATCATCAAGAACATATGCTTCACTATTTCGAAACATACTCATCCGTGGCTAGAAACGAATCGCTTAAGATGATGCTCTCTCTTGCAGTCAATGAAGATCTGAATGTCTTTCAATTCGATGTTGAAACTGCTTTTCTCTATGGTAACATCGATGCTTCAATTTACGTATCGCAAGTTCTTGGTTTTGAAGATCCAGATCCGAAGAA